AACACAAAAGTTAATACATACTAGCTATGAAAGAGGAGACCTAAGCTAGCTCCTACAGATTCATTGCTACAAATCTTATATGAAACATCTAAGTAGGAAGGCTAGAAATGATTAAACCGAAGAGATTCAAGAGTCATAATGAAACAAAACTAATTATTGTGTTAATTTAACCTCGTTTTCGCAACTTGGTCTGAGCATCAGGAAGACCTTGTGCAACGTACCTAGCCCTGCTTCGCTTGCCTAATTAATGATTAATTCCAGCATTGGACCATTGACTTGTTATATTCCCAGACGTTTCGCCGAGCATCGTAGTAGACATCGTCAATAATAGGCTTCATCGTTTTCACATTTATAACTTATCAGTAAAAAGTGAAGGAAATCTCCTTGACCAATTTTCTGTTCACCCGTTGTGGCATCACTCCTCGCTCTTATTTTGTCCTAAATTTTAGTGCTGCATTTCTTTCTCTCAGCTGCACTACGCAATGACCTATTTACACCATTCTGTGCTATAGTTTCCTCCAATGTTGCTTAAGAGTGTCTCGCTACAAGTGGATTTTAATAAGGCGTAATCATTTAAACCACCGGTTCCAGATGCCGTTGGCAGGGCTTCTGACCTTCATTGAACTCACTTTCCACCCCGCTAATCAATTGGTCACTGCTACATAGCAAAACCACTGTCTGGATGTCTAAAATTTTGCTACCTATGAGCCTTTAATTCCCACACCAGTTGCGTCATATTTGAAGAATTAGATGCGATGGTCCCCATGCATAGGCATTAGACCCATCAGCAATTTATCCTTTCCGAGCCGAACCTACATTGTATCACATTCCTTGGGCGACAATCCCTATATGCTATTCATAGAAGCATCTGCAATGTAATGCATTCCAGATAGCCCCTTTGCATGATAAGCACAAAGTGCTTTAAATGATTAGAATCAAGTCATACTGTTATGCTAAATCACACACACGTTTGGTCAAAGGATGGGCTTCACTTGTCTCTTTGACGAGTTGTAATATGGTGCTGCGAATGGCGAGACTAACTGACGATGCCGGCAAAACGTCTGGGAATGTACCACGTCCACGTTCCTACTCTGGAAATGATGATGCATACATTGGAGTCCAGACTAGGTGCGTTCCTCTAATTCTTCCTACCAATATGACCAAATTGCGAAAACAAGGTCAAACAACTTCTATAAAAGCCTTAAACTATCAGTTAATTCCAATGAGTAATCCGAGGGTTATGCATATGTGTATATAAACTAAATGTACTTAGTTGCCGATATTTATACCTATTGAAATTACGCTTAATTGGAGCTGAATAAATTACCGCATGAATTGCTAATAAATACGAAAATAATTTTGAGGCTACTCAAAGGTCTTAAGACTACTAAGCATGATATTTTAAAGTTCTTATGATTGCTTTGAAAGACGAATGAGCTAAGAAGAGAATAACTAAGTCTTGAATAGACTGAAATTTACACCTTGTAAACGAAAAAAATAGTTCAACTAGCATAGCAAAATTAGTATAATAATTTAGAGACTAAAGAATGTAGAATATTTATTCATAATTTGTAGGAAACCCTTCAGATAGTATTTTTCATTCGTCTATGTGCCTCCAAAAGAAAGATATATAAAGCTTACCAAAACTATATTCATATAAAGTAGGCTTCGAAATTATCATATAATTGTGGACAAATTAACCCATGCAACCTAGACTAAATGGAATTTTTACTAAAACAAGAAAAAGTACATCCCTGCTTAGGCTTAATTCAAGCCCAAACAAATTATGCTTCCCCATCTGAGTATAACAAAAGCTATTCATTTAGTAAGAAAATTATTATATCTATCCTGAATTTTAAGGGAATTCCTACTAGGACTTAGTCTGAGTGGACAGATATTTAAATGGCTTGCTGTGGACCTAGAAGACTAAGTTTAGACCAAACTAACTTCATTGATATCATGCAGATAAGAGACCTTAAAGTATATTTAGGAAAAAAATTAAGTAATCTGAATAATTCAAGGTAAGAGGGACTTTGGGAACAACAGGAAATCAAGATGACTGTATCTTTCCTTAAAGCCAGATATTGATCAGACAAACAAGTATATAAAGAGTAGATAATATCAGATGCAAAAAAGCTGGTAGTTCAAGATCTAAGTGGGATTTAGATATGATAAATAATCCTGCTAGTGCAAACTCGTGATCAAAACTATTAAATAAATCAATATTGAATGTCTGAATAGTTTTCGATTATACAAAATATAGTATTTAGTGCTGATAATTAAAGAAAACATTGTCTAAAAGTAAGCCAAAACAAATTAGCTTATGAATATTCCCAAGTATCATAGGCTAATATGGCATTCGATTGTAAAATCTGGCCAAGAAAAAAAGTAAGTGGAATCCATGATCACACACCGGTTCATTGTCATCTGAAAGCAGAGCAGGTTTAACACCAAAGAAAGGGCGTGTGGCAGCGCCAGGCTTCATTGGAGTGCAACCAGGCAGTGGAGTAAGCATGTGCCCACCTGTCTCTGTCTGCCAGAAGGTGTCGACTAAGGAGCAATGACCTTGGCCAACTATATGGTAATACCAGGACCAGGCATCAGGATCGATTGGCTCTCCGACACTACCAATCACCTGATAGAAAAAATCGGGATGGAAAGAATGAGATGAGAGAAAACATGAATTCCCTGCATTTATGGCAGAAAATGTGAACCGTAACAAATATCGCATTACTCTAAGAAGTATTCTAGGGTAAATACAAGGCTATTCACTATTGTAAAAACAAGTCATTAATAACGAGATTTTCAGATCTGTTATCCCAAATGAATAAAGAGCATATAAAAAATTTATAAATCCTAGATGTCTTTAATTTACACGCTATAGTGAGGTTTTCTGAGTTCTAGTGACCCTTAATATAAGGTGAAGGAAAATTTTGTGCACTATAAGAATCAGTAATGATAAATGGGCCTCACAAGCTAATGTGGAATACACGACAAGACAAAGCCAAATGAGGAAACTAAGTAAATTCATTGTAAAGAGCATATAAGCTTATCGGTCGCAATAAATGCAATCCACGTGTATATAGACTGGGTCAGTCCACCCACGTATAAATTATAGTGCCCATTGAAGTTGTGGAGGTGAAGCTACATAGCTTAATGGGTGAAGCGAAAGAGACAGTATAACGGAGAACATTTTTGTGAGATTACAGATATACGTCAGAAATTCGATGGTATAGGCATTCATCATCAAAGGTAATTAGGCTAAACATACATAAGTAATGCGTCTAGCCCATCCTACACTTATGAGATCAAGAATTTGGAAAGCAGGAATAACCAACAATGTGAAAGAATTGATATTATAGACGAATTGTCAGAAAAGCATAGTTTTACTAGGTATGAAGGCTCCGGGAGAGACATGAAGACGATATATTTAGACCAGAACTCGGCAAAAAAATTCCAGTGGAAAGGCGAATGGAAGGAATTTGCAAATTGGCTTTACTGTAAACAGGAGGATTGTCTTGTAGCTGAATATGTATGTTAACATGCCGTCCTTAAACTTCAATGCATTAGTGCTGAGTCATTGTATCATGTGATAGAAATAATCAGAGCGTAACACTACGATTTAAGAATATTTATCAAGCTACAAATGAATAATAGCTGGATATAATCTCACTTATTTCCTATAGACCGACCTTATCTAAATCATGAAATGTCTCAATAAGTATATAAAATCAGGCCATACAAAGTAGATAATATTAAAGCTGGCCATTATCGTTGACTTAGTAAATAGTATATTTTATAAAGGCCTGATTTCAATTTCTGGTGATGTAGTATACAAGACTAAAAAAGACTCCGTGCGAAGTAATCGAAAACGAAGAACGGTGCGTCAAAGAATTCTTAGTACCAATCCAGTAGCAATTTCAGATCAGCCCGCTTTTTAGGAAAATTCTACGTCTATTTATCAACTAAGATAGTAATGCGATTTAAATAAACGGAAAAAGGCAATACAAAGGTCTATCTACGTAAACCTAAAGTATATGAGGAAATAGCGCCTAATTCGGATAAAGCCATAAATTCAAAGATCAAACTTAATACTATTTTACATAACTCATTTAAAGTATTCAGCTACAATGTCATGTTCCGTATTAAGTTAATAACAGGTTTACGTTGTAGCAATTAAGGACCTGATAGTTGACAATATCTACTAGTCTCAATTGATCCCTGTAGTGAACTAAGAGAGACGCTTCGCATGAT